TCAGCAAGGCAATGAGGGAAAAAGCAGTCAAACTACAACACAGCAGGCGAGCAGCACAGGAAGACAAAGCAAGTGGATGACAGACCACCAGGCAAAAAATCAGTAAAAGCAAGGCAGGCCATACATTCAGCATGAACTAGAGCAGAGCATCATCTACGCACACCACAAGTAGAACCCAGAAGACAGTACTAGGTCCACAACACCCTTGCAGCCAGGGGGCCAGTTCAACGAACGTCTCTCTTTACCCAAGGAACACAGACACACAGGCATCCATCCCGGACACACCGGGCCCCCTGATAATGTTGCAGGCATTCCAAACAAGAGACACTGACTATTTCGCACGTCTTAGAGGTGCTCCCTTAGGCGCACAGGAGAAGCACAAGAAAAGACCACCGAACGCATGAAATGGACAAAACAAAGAAACACTTAGGATGAGAAGATGAAAAGCAAAAAAGGAAAGGAAAGAGAACTTACAGTGTGTGTGCACAAGTGTGTGCATGTGTGTAGGTGGGTGGCTGTCTAGTTTTGCATCAGATATGGACCATGGCAGTGGTGAAAACAGGATACTTAGGGCCAGTCCTATCAAACCACCAGTGCCTCACCCAGCTATTTGAAGCCGAGCCTGAAAATGCCCTGCGTGCCAAAAATAAAAAAGAACTGGAACGGGCCTCATTTTGGCTGGGGCTGCCAGCCACTTTGGTCCGGTACCCTCACTCCCGAAAGTTGCAGCCGTACACGGCCCTGTATTTGCTCGTACACGCTATAACGTCAGGCGGCTTCGTCTGTTTTGACACGAGCTACGATAGGCGCTATTGTGCTCCACGATTATCCATTGCCTATCCCGCCGCGTTCGGGAGTTTTGTACTACGATTGTCAGCGTGCCTTTTCCTCTTGCGTGGATGTCGTGTATGCTAACTCCTTTCGTGTGGATTTCGTGTTTGTTAACTTCTCGAGTGAATGCATGTCTTATGCCCACTCACTTGGTTGGATGCATGTGATATTATCACCTGTTTCAAATCACTATCCACTCTATTTACTAGCAGGTGAGCCAGCAGAGCCTTGGGCACTAGACCCGTGCTTTGGGCAAAAAAGAAAAAAAAAAAAGCAAGCAAAAAAAAAGAAAAAAGAAGAAAATTTCAACAACAAACAAAAAAAAAAAAAAAAAAGAGAAAAAAAGAGAAAAAAAAAGCAGGTGAACCAGGATCAGGAGATCTCAAGTGGCCAACAATGGTGTAGGGCGACAAACAGCATGTCAGGCACTTGATCCGACAGAAATATCCCATGAAACTACTGGGAAGCCTTCAGTGGTTCCTTGGCTCAAGCTATGGAGCACTTATTCGTGGTTTCTTGCAGTGATTTATTGTCTTCGCGAATATAGTCCCAATGGGAAGTCTATTATCAGGAACGCTACATGGGTTACACCCCGTGAATCTGTCCTAGAGGGTAGGACAGATTCATGAATCCCCTAATCAACAAGAGGGCAATCAATGCTGCTCTCTGGTCGGCACAACGCTCTTGGCCTGTAAGTGGAATGATGGACCCGATCACTGGCAGGTAGTGTGCAGCTCCCCGCCAATAGATCGGAGCCATCACATACAGGGGCGCTCCACTATTGGGGGATGCTCCTGTCACCCCAAAAGTGGACCCCTTAAAGATGCATTTCCAAAACAGGAAAGACTCAGGCCCCACAGTAATAAGGTTTAGGAGGTTATAAGGAAATCTCATGGTCACAATCGCATTGGTGGACTCTCAAAGCCTACGCATAGAGAAAGCTCAGTTGGGCCAGCTCAGTCTGGCCTGGGCCTTACGTGTCTAAATGCTAAGATGGAGGGTTCAAGGGGGGGGGGGGGCGGCAGTGAGAATGCATCATGGCATCGGCACGTCCAGGTTTAGGACTCCAGGTCATGCACTTGGGCATATGCACTGCCTGTTGTATTTTTCTCCACTGAGAATGGATGGCAGCATCAGGCCATTTGCACATGCACGACTGGTGCATTCTTTTTTTTTGTTTTTTTGAGGTCTTGTACTTTTCTTTCCTTGTGTGTGATCTACACCCATTGCTCCCTATGCAATCCATAAGTCATGCCAGGATCCCCGCCCGTCACCGAACGGGTTGGTCTATCAGCTGCTTTGTGGGAGGGGGGTTGGGGGCACGGGGGGAGAGGGTTGGCATCAGTGTATGGAATTTTGAATGTGCTGACTTTGGCGATTTTTCCTTTGGCACATCTTGTTCAGATGCCTCCCTAGAATGAACTGGGGAATAGATAATTCCCCATTGGAACACAAAGGTATATCCATGGTGAAAAAGATGCATGAGGGGTTTCCTTTTCGTAAGGGACGGCAGGCCCGTTGCCTGTCTTTTTGTAATGAATGATTGTCTTAGTGCAAAAAAAAACAAAAAAACATGAGGAACTTCCCTGTTGATGTAGCTCAGTGGTCAGAGCACTGGTTGGAAATGCGCATTGTGGTATGAGGTTGTGGGTTCAAAACTCCACAGCCTAGCGCATGGACAACGGCAGGGCGTTAGAATGACGCACGGCTGGCCACACACACTCCCCTGGGCTGACGCATGGTACTATTACAGACACTGCCTGCGCACCACCAGGGGATAAGTCCATGGGTATTGTATGCTGGCCTAGTCCTCACGTTGGTCACTGGTTGTTGTTGGCTTTGGGCGCTCTGATGATCTCCCCGGTCCAGATATCGCACACATTAGATTCACTTCCTACGATAGTACAAGTGGTAGAACCCTCCAGTTTCATACTGTAGGTCACAGGTTTGAGTCCGGTTCGGACTTTGAACGACCATTTAGTCAAAATGGACATTTTGTATTTTTTGAACGAAATTGAAACCGAGTTTTTTGGCCGAAAACTTGTCAAAATTTGCTGTTCCTGAGGGTCCCCCTGGCTGTCGTCCTGCCTGGAGGTGCCTGGTCTCAAGCTAGGTCCAGCGTTTGTAAAACGCTGGACCCTCAGGAACAGCAAATTTTGACGAGTTTTCGGCCAAAAAACTCGGTTTCAATTTCGTTCAAAAAATACAAAATGTCCATTTTGACTAAATGGCAGTTTTGGGGGGAGACCTGTTTCTACCACATATACACACACACACACCCCAGATAGCACAATCACGACACCTATCATATATATACACATACTCCATATTCGCTAGGGGTGATTCTCTGGATGGCCTTGGGTGGGGACGTGTGGCTCTCTTACGGGGAAGCTGTTGAGGATGAGTGCTGCTCTCTTGGGTCGGGGGGTGGCATGGGGGTTGGGGGTGCATGGTGATACCGTGGCAGTCCAATGGTAGGGAAGGGGTGCCTTGTAGACTAAAAAAACTATCATGTACTCTTTCTTGTAATTTTGAATACTAGACCAACCTACTAACATGCAAATAGGTATTAAGAACGTAGTCAACACCACAAAGAATAAAGAAATCCCATCTAGACCTATATAAAAATTGATATTTGAGTAAGGAAGCCATCGTATTGTTTCAACAAATTGGAATTTAGCTGTAGACTCATTCAGGTGAGGAGTGAGTTGGCAGCGGTTGGTCGAGGGTAGTTGATGATGGACGAGGTCTCCTCCAATACCACTGGTCAATTCTCCCTGGCGCATAACAAGGTACACACACACAGTCAGGTACTAGTGGAGGTGGTAAGAGCACCTCTCACCAGTACGCAGTACTCAGTTCGTAGAGGCTCCATGGTGGGGAGCAACATATATAACCATACATATATATATAGCCCACGGGCACACATCCATGATACACAAACACACACGCATCACAAACGGCCAGGTAGAGGTCACATAGGGGCCAATAGGTGATTGTTAGAGCCTGGCGTCCGAAGTACCCGTACGGCAAGGCTCGTTCGACTGTGCTTCAACCAGGGCTAGGTCGCTAGCCCTGGTGCCTGTCGCTACTGTTTGGTCCAAGTCCCCCTCGATACTGATACTCGATACTGATACTCGATACTGGTAGGGTGACGGTCCTGAGTGCTGGTCACACTAAGGTAGGATAGTAGGGATAGGGGATACGCTAGGAGTATTGACGTGAGGTTGGGATGGGTGGTGGCCTCGCCTTCCCAGAGCGACCAGGGTAGACTACTTTCGGCAATCAACGTGTGCCTAGTAACCAGCCTCTACAACCCCCTGGACTTAAAAAAAAAAAAAAAAAAAAAAAAAAAGGAACTTCCCTGTCAGAAGGTACAGAGAGACAATTGAGCATCTGTTTATGAGCAAGGACGTGGAGGTGGTGTGGGAGACGGTCTGCTTTACACAGTAAGGCTTGAGGCCTGGCCGGTAGTGAATGCGGAAGGCGACTGTGAAAAAAAACAGATAGAGGCTTGCAAGCCTTGGAAGGTAGCCCTTACACTGGGACTTACAGTTAGGTTGATTTCAAGGAAGTGTCTCGCCAAGGGGGGGGTGATGCGCTAGCGCTAGCGCCCTGATGCCGGCGGACCGGTAGGCCCGGTTCCTCCCGGCTCGACTAGCGCCTGGGGAGGTAAGCTCCCAGGCTGCTAGGCCTGTGCGCGCGCCCGGCGGAAGCATGTGGCTCTTTGATTGCCACGTGGCATCCGCTGTAGGGACGTGAACGTCCGCGACACGCGGGCAGGGGTAGCGCCAGCAGTGAAGATCGACGACGAGATGCAATATGTGGCGCAGCACTCCGGGCGAAGGATGGAGATGGAAGGGGAGCTACAACGTGAAGCACTTCGACTACAGGATAAGCTCTTTTATAATGAAGACGAACTCTCTCTTACAGAAGATTCTGAAGGTGAGCAAGACGATGATCACGAAGCACGAGGGATGGAGATGGAAGAGGAGCTTCAGCATGAAGCACTTTGACTACAGGATAAGCTCTACCATAATGAAGACAGTCTCGCTTACAGAAGATTCTGAAGGTGAGCAAGATGATGATCGCGATGTTCCTCGCTATTATACAAATATCTATCTGCGCTATAGGTGAGATCTGGGATTCTGGAAGAGGGACGAGTTGTGCCGTTGCTGTGAGTGAGTGCGACGAATATGAGGGGGGGGGAGAAGAAAGGTGGGTTAACTTGATGGCACTCTCTAACCAGGCTGAGGATGCAGTTGGGGATGGAGAGAGGGAATATGCCGCTGATGACGCTGGTAAGTGGGAGGTTGGGGATGAGTGCGTAGATGGCAATGGAGAGGGGGAATATGGCACTGATGACGTGACTGAGTGGGATGGGGAGTGGGGACTACTGGCAACGGTGGAAATGGCGGCAGCGGCAGCAGCGACGGCAACAGTAACAACAACAATAATGGAGGTGGAGCAAGGGTTGGAAGAAGGGAGGCAAGGAATGGGCGGGATTGGCGAGACGGGCGGGACGGTTGGCAACAACAATGACAATAACATCACTGACAACAATAACAATAGTAACTTCAACAACGGCGGCGTGCGGCCAACGGGCGAACTGGGTGGGATAAGCGTGAAGGAGGATAACAACAACAACAACAATAACAACAACAACAACAACAATGGCGACACCAACGCGATGGTGGAGAGGGGAGAGAACGTTGACAACAACAACAACAACAACAACAACAACAACAACAACAACAACAACAACAACAACGAGATGGTAGAGATGGGGATGGTGGACAGGGGAGAGAATGTTGACAACAACAACAACAACAACAACAACAACAACAACAACAACAACAACAACAACAACAACGAGATGGTAGAGATGGGGATGGTGGACAGGGGAGAGAACGTTGACAACAACAACAACAACAACAACAACAACAACAACAACAACAACAACAACAAAAATGACGCTGAGCAGGAATTGGGGGAAAAGGGGGCGGTGGGTGAGAAGGACGACGCAGACAACAACAACGACGGCGGTATCAACAACAACAATAACAAGAATAATAATAATAGTCACGACGATGAAGGAAATGACAACCACGGAGGTAGCGGGGCAGAGAGTGGTGCTTCCGCAACTTTGATCCTTATCAGTGTCATGGGACAGATGCCGTCATCAGGGCAGACGAGGGGATCTTGTAGCTTGGTGTGGATGGCGAAGTGGGGCTTGAGGCTGAAGCTACGATTTGGTACTGTTCCCCCCCAACCTTACCCGGTGTTTTCCCATGATGAATCGTCTCTTTTTCTTTGGCACCGGGTGGGGATAGGATAGATGATCTTGCGATGATTAGGGTTGATTGCCTCTTACCTGTCTGACCCTCATCTCTTAATCATGAAAAGATTGTTGTGGATTACGCTGGTTATTGCGGGTGAATATATGCGCAATTTTTTTATTTTTTATTTTTTATTTTTTTAATTCCCAAGGCTCCATCTATTGGTGGGGAGCAACACCTGCTGGAAACCGGGTCCAGCGTCCCATAGATACAACCATATCCTCCTCACAAATTGGCACAAACTGGGAACCGGCCCCAACGTCCCATAACAAGTGCGTTCAGAAAACTTCATCAGAAAAAATTCCTACTAGAAAATCTTAGGCTTTTGGAACACAAGATGCCGAGGCCCAACTACTTCAGACATGTCCCTGACAACGTCATGATTAAGCAGAATTCGAAACAACTCAGAAAAATCCCCATCACCAAAGTCACTTTACCACCCTCCGGCAAGACTGACTGCAGCGGAGCCACCATCTCTGCTGCTGCTATGCCATACTCCCATCCCACCAGCTAGCCCCCTCACTGGTAGGATGCGTGATAACCCACCATCTTCTCCAGCTCACCTTATTTTCTTTATGAAGAACCTGAGAACTTTTACCGACGTTCTTCAGAGGTATGAGAACAGGCCACAGAGGTCCTAGGATTGTTCTACGAAATCCACACACAAACCCCTCCAACGTTCTCCAAAACTGTCATACTCTCTACCGATCTCTTCTAGGTCCCACACCCCCGCTTCTGCTGGGTTACAGGGCAACGCAGCTCACCCCAGCTCCGACCAGCGTCGTCCCGGCAGCATCCTTTGGTCATCCCGTGGAAAGTCCCCCCCAAGACCTCCCCAGATCACTCTACCAGACCTCACGCTCCTGCATCGCAGGTTACAGGGCAGCACCCCAGCACCGGTCAGCGTCGTTCTGGCATAGAATGACCACAGAACACTGAGTATGGCAGCGTTGGAATCACCAAAGAAGGGTTAGCAGGGACTCCAAAATCCTAAGAAACATGCCTAGGACCGCTGAGCACCCCATTCTTTTTGGAACATTCAGAATTCTTTAGAAATTTATAAGGGGGGGGGGGAAACAAACTGTCTACTATCCTAAAGTCCTCCCTCAGCAGACGAGGTGTTAGTCAAGGCTTTCAGTCTTCGTACCAGAACTCAATTGATCTCATACCCCCTACTGCTAGGGTAACAGGGCACCACAACCCTCCCCAGTACCGACCAACCTCGTTCTGACGGTCAGAAAGTGCCTTCCTCCCTTGACAGTTCCTGCAGCGGCAAGCCCCAAACAAGTTACAGGGTCAATACCCCGGTGCCAGCCTCGTCGGACGGTCTGGTTATGCACTCGGCATAACTTTGCAGGCCTCAAGCTCCCCCCAAGTCATAGAGCACCAGCTCCAGCACCGGCCTGAGTCGTCCCAGCACCGTCCTTCTAACCTACTTACGCTGACCGAATACCCTCCTTTGTTGAGAATCCCTTTCTTCCCTCCACCAACTTCTGTCCCCTGATTTTGGGATCAAAAATCCTTCAGAAACCTAATTTAGAAAATGGTAATAGAAAACCGAATTCAGAAATTCTACCTATTGGAACATTTGAAATTCTTTAGAAATTTATAAGGGCGGGGGGAAGACAAATTGTCTACTATCCTAAAATCCTCCCTCAGCAGACGAGGTGTCAGTCCAGGCTTTCAGTCTTCGTACCAGAACTCAATTGATCTCATACCCCCTACTNGTCTTCGTACCAGAACTCAATTGATCTCATACCCCCTACTGCTAGGGTAACAGGGCACCACAACCCTCCCCAGTACCGACCAACCTCGTTCTGACCGTCAGGAAGTGCCTTCCTCCCTCGACAGTTCCTGCAGCGGCAAGCCCCAAACAGGTTACAGGGTCAATACCCCGGTGCCAGCCTCGTCAGACGGTCTGGTTATGCACTCGGCATAACTTCACAGGCCTCAAGCTCCCCCCGGGTCACAGAGCACCAGCTCCAGCACCGGCCTGAGTCGTCCCAGCGCCGTCCTTCTAACCTACTTATGCTGACCGAATACCCTCCTCTGTTGAGAATCCCTTTCTTCCCTCCACCAACTTCTATCCCCCGATTTTTGGAATAAAAAAATCCTTCAGAACCTAATTTGGAAGATGGTAATAGAAAACCAAATTCAGAAATTCTATCTAAAACATCTTATAGAGATTAGAACTAAAACGAGCGACAGGTCTAAGATTAGATTTGAAATTATTCCAAATGAAGAATGACTTCGAAAGTCATAGATTTAGAAATGAAATTGAAAGCAATGAAGGAATCAACTGTGATGTCCAAGGACTTTCAATTCAGATTCCTAGAACCCCAAGATCCCAGGAACCGTTGTGATAGTGAATCAAAGAAAGTAATATGTGATGTCGAAAGGGACTTTCGATTCAGATTCCTAGGGCCCCAAGGTCCGAGGAATCGTTCTGATAGTAATCTAGCGATCAGGATATGTGTGCAAAAACAAGCGAATCTAAACAATCGAAAAAGTTCAATCTGATAGTTAATCCAGAATTACCAATTAGCAAAACAGACAGCGATCAGGATATGTGCGCAAAACCAAGCGAATCTAAATCCGATGCAAACAATCGAAAAAGTGCAAACTACTGCATCTCAAAAGGACTTGGAACTAGGAATCACAAAATCAGGATTGTTAGTTATGTTCAACAGTACTAATACACAATCAGACAGATATCAAGACGAACAAACACGATCAAGGCCAAACGAAAGAGGAACACCATACCCTTGACAAACCTTGAATACACCCCCCCTCTCTCCAAACCTCACCTCCTCGCTTCATCGACTTCTCAACAACTCGGCCGCCTATGATTGGCAACCATTCAACCAACCAATAAGACCGAACGATGATGATAATAGGACCGCAGTCGGGATTGCCATTGCAGCATGCCAAACCACGTCGCGAGAATAAGACCGCAGCTAATGTGAGTGTCCTTGAGAGCGGGCGGCGGAGTGCTACCGGGAGCGCCCCGCCGCCCGACGCTTGGACGTGACAGCAGGCCTCACGGAGAGAGCGGGAACGAGGAGCGGTGGAGCGTAGCGACGGCGAGATCGACGCGTGGAAGAGGTGGGTGGGCGTGACGGCGGGTCTTGCGAAGCGGCGGGAATGCTGGGATGATGAGGTTCACGCAAGGAGGGATGGGAGAAAGGGTGTCTGGGCGCCATCGGGTAGAGCATTTCACACCAAGGTCTTAGTGGAAGAGGAGGAACATGGTGGGTGGGAGAATAGGGGAAGGAAGGGTTATGGGTTGGAGGGAGGGTTACTAGGAGGTAGAGGAAGGATGGCATCTGCAACGTGGACTCCCCCTAATCTTTTCGGACTACCTGCGAGGGGCGTCTGGCGAGCTCAATATATGCGACAAATTGATATCTATACACATCATTGTATAGGACATATATGCTGTATGAGCAGGAGGTCAATCCTTCCCCTGCGTTGGGAAGTGATCAATGCCTCTGCTCCTTCACATAGAGTACATCAGCTCTGGGGTTTCGCTTCATATCAGTGTTAAGTTTTCCCTTCAGGGGGCATGTATCAATCGATGAGTGCAGACACACCGGTTAGATGTTGAATCATATGGATTGCTGTACATATACAGACCACCTCCGAAGGTAGGACATAGCTACACACCACTGCATAGGGGTGCTGGACCCATCTTCCAGCTGACACACATCACTATACACATCACATCATGGTTAGGGTTCCGTCTGATAGATAAGTTTGGGCTCGAAGCCTCAGCTTGGCTTGGAGATTCTGTAGATCCTATGGATAGGGTCTCCCATCATCTGACATATATTGCTTGACGTGTACACATAGGTAGTTGGAGGTATCAACACATCTCTGCATAGGGAGGCTGGACCCAATTTCCTGTAAATACATTCACATCATTGTACAGGGACGCTGGACCCGATTTCCAGCAGGTGTAGCTCCCCACCAATAGATGGAGCCTTCGACGCCGGGACCTACTTAACGGGGATGCTCTTATCACCTCTTTAAGTAGATTTCCCATATACGAA